TCTTCAAAAAATAAACATTTCTCTTTACGCAAGGTGCAGACAAACCATTTCTCTCGCTGGAAGCTCACTTCTCCCTCTAGAGATTCCTTTAAAGGCTCTTCCCTTTCTATGTAGGAGGCCCTTGCCTCTCTCTAGAGGAAATTCACCTTTCTTGTAAGGTAAATGAAATAGGTCACACATATTCCTTTCTCCCTCATTTCATATATATAAATATTATGAATCCTATAACAAATAAAAATCCTTATCTCATTAGGAAATATATTTATGTTTCATATAATGATTTTCTAAAAAAAAATATTTCACATCATACAAATGATACAGCTAGATCGAAGATAAGAAAAGAAATCACATGTTTTCATTGTGGCAGGGAATGAAGCATCAAGAAAGATTGGTAGAAGCTCAAGAAATAGCGGAATGAGGACAATGTCAGGATGGCAGGAAACCACTGCAGTGACTACAAATGTTGATGTGGTCAAAAACTGTGGTGAATCATGCAACTCGGATTGGGTTGTGGATACCAGAGCATTGTTTAATGTTACTCTACAAAGATGTTATTTTGCTTCTTACAGAGCTGAAGATTTTGGCTCTATAAAGATGGAGAACTGCGGTTCCTCAAAAGATAGTGGGGAAGGGAGATGTGTGCATCTCTAACCCCATGTGACCACTGTTTGCTAGACAAACAACGTAGAGCCTTTTTCTCCAAAGGGCTTTAAGAAAATCCCAGATCTGGTGTGTGGTCCCATGGATGTCAAGTTGTTTGGTGGCACATCATACCTTGTCCCCATCATCGATGATGCTTCATGAAAGATGTGAGTGAAAAGGAAAGATCAAGTTTTTGAGATCTTTTTGGATTTCCATGCTAAAGTGGAAAGGGAAATACACAAGCTACTAAAGGTTCTCAGAGTTAGGAGTATGTCATCCACCACCAAGTTGTATTGGGGTGAAGCAGTCCTCACAACATACTACCTAATAAATCAATCCATGTGGTTTACTCTAGATTGGTTAGATCTCAGAGAGAGTTTGGACAGAAAAAGATATCTCTCATTTACACTTGATGGTGTTCAAAGAAGGTGCATGTGCCCAAAGAACAAAGATCCAAATTGAATGAGAAAGCATTCCTATGCATCTCTGTAGAGTACTCAGATAAAGAGTTTAGCTATAAGATGTGGACTTGAGAACAAGAAGGTGATCAAGGGTATAACTGTGGTCTTTCAAGAAGACCATACTATTGAAGACGTGAAAAAGGTCTCAAAGCCACAAATTTTCAATGGCCCAGAACTAGTAATATTTACTCCCATCATGGTAAATGAAGATGGGGGAGAAGTTAAACGCGACGATGGGTCCAAAGAATTTGACATGTCAATTCGGAGTGATGAGGAGCAAGGAGAGCAGCCTATCCAAAAAGTACTGCCTACAGTTGAATCGAGAAGGTCCTTTAGGGGGACATAAACCCTCTTCCAATTACCCCACATCACAGTATATCCTATACACTAAAAGGGGTACTAAAAATCTACCAAGAAGTTGAGGCCGACAAATACAAAGGGGTATGGGATAAAGTTATGTAAGATGAGAACAAATCCTTATATAAGAATCACACCTATCAGTCGTTAAAGTTGCCGAAAGGCAAGAAGGCGCGGGAGTTAAATACCAGGCAGATCCTTTCAACAAAGAGGAAGAAGGAAAATATACAGAAAGATCCCCATGGGTCAGCTTTAGGAAGCACACGCAGCATAAGCATGGTGAGTAGATTCATCGCTAATCTTAACAAGAAACACTGGGCAACAATCAATTGGATATTTAGGTATCTTAGAGGAACATCCAAAATGTGTTTTTGCTTTAGGGGAGGAAAACCTGTATTACATGGGTACACAGATGAAGGCATCACTGGAGAAATAAACTCTAAGAAGTCAATCTCGAGATACTTGATACTTTTGTAGGGGGGTTGTTGTATGGTAATCCAAGCTCAGAAAGGTGAGAAATTGTCGCAACTAGGGAAATCTATACCGACAGGAGAGTGTCGGATGTGATACGAAGTTCTTGTCTAAAGACAAGCAAGAGTCATATAGAAACACGGGTAGCATGCGTGCCATCTGAGCATCTAGTTAATATACGAAGGAAACCACCCTCCTAGGATCGGAGGGGGAGATTGTTGGGTATCCCATCCCATGAGGGAGGGACACCAATGAAAATTATTTTTCTATATGGGTAGTTTTGGAAAGATGAAAATATGACTTGTTATAAAGCATGATCCCATAAAATTTGGGGTGTCTCATATGATTGATATGGGTAGTATTTCCTTTTATCTCTTACTGAAAAAGAGATAGAGATGAGCCACCTTTTTAGAAAGTGTAGGATACTCTTTCCATATTGGTCATTATCCCATTTACCTATTATAAAAGCAATCATGTGATGGGCCTATTGTGGTGTTTTAACCAAAACCTATGTGCTCCTCTCTTGAAAAAGATTTGTGCGCTCGTGGGTTTCAACCAAGGCCATCTCTCTTGGGCAATGTTTGAGCGCTCCTCCCTTGATCCGGCAGACTCTTTTTGGTGTATTGAAAAATACATAAAGGTTTCTTTTGCAGAGAAGAAAAATGAGAAGGGAGAGAAAGAGATAACATTTTCTTTTAGAGAGAAAAGCCTCTAGAAAGAAAAGAAGTCTTTGAGATAGAAAAGAACCTCAAAGAGGAAAACCTAGACAGAAAGTCTTTAAAAGAAATCAATGAGCCCGATAAAGTTTGTTTCTTAGAAGACTATTGTAATTGTTGAGTTAATAATGAATTTGTCTTTTTCTCCCTTAAACGTAACCTGAAAAGATGAACAACATAAATCTTGATGCCAATAAGTTATTTGCTTTAATTTGTATGTTTTTTCCACTCATACACACACATTTACGTTGACATAATTTTTGTGTCTCATATATTCATGTTTGTTCCACTGAGCGCATCCGCATTCATGAGAAAGGGCTCTAATTCGGTGAGCCTACTATGTATCGGCCAACAATATTCTATGAAAAATGTTTCTAACACCCCCGTGTCTAATGGTATCATGCTAAAAATGTTTCTAACACCCCCGTGTCTAATGGTATGACTTGTTGGCATGTATGTGCTAAAAAACTTAGGTGTTTAGGTAACAAAGATGATGAACCTAGATTTTTCGTTCGTTTTTCTCTAGCTCAAAATCATATTTCAACCTTATTTTCCATGTAAATCTTCCCCTATATGTATATTTGTGTCCGTCTTTCTGCTTTGTTCATTCCTATGCTCTGAGGCCCATTCCACTTATCTCATGGGTGTATTGTTAAATTCCCCTAAATAAATTGAAAAAAATGAAGAAAAAAGATCAAAAAAATAAAAAATAAATGTATTAAAATAAAAATAAAACAAGAAAAATATTTCGGAATTCAATTAAGCTTAAAAAGTACTATAATTTGGGGCATTTAAAAAAATCCAAGAAAATGGGAAATATAAAAATAGGGATTTGCGGCAAAAAACACTAAGCCAAAAACATATAAAGCATACACAAGAAAACTATAGATCAATCCCACATATTTTACAATTTTTTGTATTTTTTTTTAAATTTTAATACCCCCGATTGTACACACACCTCGGAGAAACTCGGGCCCTGCATTGCCAAGTCCCGATACACTGGTTAAATATGTATGGTTTTAGCTTTTGGATATATGTTTTCAACGGCTTGCTGGTTATTGCTCATTGCAGGACCTTTCGACCACTTTTGTTGATAGTAAAGGAGTGGGTTTCGAGTTGGACCAGTTTAGATCGCGTTGATCAATTTGAACAGGTGAATGATCAATTTGCCTAGGTGAATTTGCCATGGAAAGACTTTGCCTGGAGAATTGGCTCTTGGATTCATTGACAAGTTGCAGGAAATTAAAAATAAAAAAAACGTTGAACAAAGGATATGGCTTCCTCTTTCTTCATTAATGTTTTATGCAGAAAATTATAGGTCTTCTGGTTTTGTATGGTTGGGGAGATAGAGAAGCTACCCTCTTAACGTCACAAGGCAATGTAAAACTCAGCCACATCTTTAACGTCATAACCCATCTTTATTTGCAAGAGGTTGGGAGCTTCTATGCCAAGAACTTTGTAGTACATTTGCTTCATCAGTGATTGCACACATTTGTAATGAACTGAAAGTCTTTGCCTTTATGGTTGCTGCTTTATCACTGACAATGGGCTTAAAATCTCTGGTGCATCCTTAAATTCTATTCTTGAGGAGATGGCGCCTTTTAACGGATGCATTAGGAGAGAATTGGGGTTCATTCATGAGCTTTGAAGCAGGTGGGTGAGAGAGAGATAGTTGACGAATTCAGTGTTCGAAAGATCGAGCCGGCATAGATAGGCAATTCGATAAAACATTAGGTTAGATTATGAGAGAAAAATTCTTGACTTTGACTGAAAGGGGCAGAAGATATCAGATGGAGGAAAAAGTGGAAAGCTATAGAGCCGCGTGTGTAACTATCTATTGCTTTCTCTTGACACTTTTGTATATGCCTGAATACAATGAACATGTTAAGTTTTTGGAGAATCAATATTCATTTATTGACCCAAAAAGAGATAATTATACATGTCAAATAAGATCAGAGATAATTATACATGTTAAGTTTTTGGAGAATCAATATTCATTTATTGACCCAAAAAGAGATAATTATACATGCCAAATAAGATCAGAGATAATTATACATGCCAAATGACATCCTTTGATTATAAAGATTTACAAACAAAACAATCTAACAAATAATAAAACTACCAGAACAATCTAAATTTCCTTATAAACTACTATTTTTATTATGTATTTTCGTCTCAAACACTTTATACGTATGACTCCATTTCCCTCTATTTAACAAAAGGGCCCACTACCCATTGAAACGTTTCCCTCTATTTAATAAAAAAGGGTCCACTACAATTTCTAAGAAGCATCCTGTGACTGCCTATTTAAACTGCATGAAGGGTAGTACCATTAGACAACCCAGTTTCTTAGACTGGTTTTACACCTTAGGATTGAAGGAGATTGATAGAGAAAGATGGCAATCTATGGCCCTGCTATCTCGCAAATCCTCGTGCGCGTCTCCTTCGCTGGTATGTTCCTCATCACCAAGGCCGCCCTCGCTCAAGGAATGAATACTTACGCTTTTGTTACTTATCGCGCTGCACTGGCTACCTTGACTCTAGCCCCACTTGCCTATTTTTATGAGAGGTACCGTCTCTTTCTTTCTCTCTGTGTGCGTGTGTGTACAATTATCATTCTCACTATCAGAAACTAACATGTTTATTGCAGGGAAAAACGTCCTCCGCTACGATTAAAACAAACCTTGCAGATCTTCTTGCTTGGACTATTAGGGTGAGCTTTGCACTGTCTTATTATTTTGTTAAATGTTATGTTTTGATAGTTCGTATTGATATTTTTCTTGAATGTTGGATTGTACTCATTAATAATACTTGCAGAAACACTATCACGCCAATAAGTTACATCACAGGACTTGGTTACACTTCCTCTACATTTTACGCCACACTCTCCAATCTCATTCCTGTAATTATCTCTGTCCTTGCGGTTATTTTCAGGTAAATCAATGAGTTTCTTCTGCTCGAGTTTTCTCTGCTTTCTTAACCCCTGTTTGGACAAAGGCTTTAGTAAAAAGTCTGCCATAAAACTTATGCATGAACGAGTGGCTTGCCTGCTTGGTAAGTCACTAGTTGCTTGGCACCTTAAAGAACAAAATCTAACTTATCAGCAACATGCGGCCATCATGATCCAGTTTTCGCATTAGGCGAAAAGAAGGAATATTTTCCTTCATCTATGTCTAAAAAGTTGCATGTTGTAGGAAAGGGGCTGGGTCATGGTGATAGGACCCCATACCTATTTACCACGTTGTGGATTTCAATCCCCGAATGAGCGGCTTGCCTACATGGTAAGTTACTATTTGCTTGGCATCTTAAGGAACAAAATCTACCTTATCAGCAATATTCGGCCACTGTGCCCCTGTTTTCACTTTACGCGAAAAGAAGGAATATTTTCATTCCTTCATCTATGTCAAGAAAGTTGCATGCTGTAGGAAAGGGGCTGGGTCGTGGTAATGGGACCCCCCATACCTAATCACCACGTTGTGGTTTTCAATTTTTGAATGAGTGGCTTGCCTGCTTGGTAAGTCACTATTTGCTTGGCATCTTAAGGAACAAAATCTAACTTATCAGCAACATGCGACCACTGTGTCCCAGTTTTCACTTCAGGCAAGAAGGAATTTTTCATTCCTGCATCTATGTCCAGAAAGTTGCACGTTGTAGGAAAGGGGCTGGGCCGTGGTAGTAGGACCCCCATACCTAGTGGCCACATTGTGGTTTTCAAAAATAAAAACCACAATGAAGAAAAAATGAAAAAAATGACACCTTCAGAAAAAAAAAAATGACACCTTCAAAAAAAATGACACCTTCAAAAAAAAAAGAGAAAAAAAATTGTATGTTCTTTCACTAAATTAATATTATTGTTTTTTTTTAATACAAGATTGTCCATAAAGCCAAATAGAAATATGCTTAGTATGAACACTAGGATGTCAAACAGAGCCATCCTTTCTCCATTTGGAATTCTCTTGATTTTGTAATTTAATAATTCCATAATTCATCTCTAACTCTCTCTCTCGCTCTCTCTATCCCTCTTTCTAGAATGGAGAAGCTGCAATTAAAGAAGAGGACAGGGCAAGCAAAGGTTGTAGGCATTTTTCTATGTGTAGGAGGTGCAATGATGATCACATTATACAAGGGTTATACCCTTAACATCTCCAGCTTCTTGAAAGCACCAAAAGCCATTCTCAAGCTTCTGGATACCCCCCATTCATCTATTGCCTCACAAAAGAATTGGATTTTGGGTTCAATTTTGTGTATAATAAGCATTACAAGTTGGTCGGCATGGATAATGTATCAGGTGATGCTGCTACCGTACTGCATCATGTCATTTATTTATTTCTGTGCATGCGTTAGTTTCATATTTATTTCCTCTGCTTTTTACGTACGTACGGACACCTTTTTTTTTTTTCTTATATTACCATGTGAGTGTAGCTTTAACAAAAATTACAACAACAACCCCCTAGTGGCCCTTTTTCGTTTTATGTTTCATCCATCCTGTCGGCCATGACAACACAAGATAGGAGAATAAGACAAGTTCTCTCTTTCATAAAAAAAAAAAAAAGTTATATGGTCCGAAGGAATATATTATCTGTTTACTCCCTTTGGTATAAAAAACATTATCTAGAAGTATTTTTCAGACTCAAAAATCTCAGGTAATGACCTACCAAACTAGTTATTTAACAAAAAAAAAAAAAGGGGGAGAATTATGTGTGCCGGAAAACATTACATCTTAAAAATGAATTTAGACCAGCTAATTTTTATATTTTAAAATTCTATTTAAAAAATTGTACCATTTTTTTATCCTTTTAGGAAGTATTTTTTTGATCTATTTTAGATTTATATTCTACTATTTATAATTTTATATATAGTTTTAATTAAAATCTACTTAAATATTTTTCATTAAATAATTCAGAATAGAAAATATTATATTCTACAAAATTCCAATTCAAATTTATTTTCAAATAAAATAGAAATTTAGAGGGAAGTACCAATGTTTCTATCCATGTATTATTCAATTTCTTTTATGCCACTTGACTTTAGTTGTTGCTAGAGCCGCCTGGGGACCCCAAGCTGCATTTTCAAACACAGATTGTGGCATTTCATTATGATGCTTCATTTTTTTTAGGAGCTCTCCTTCGCTTGTATGAGCATATTTCTTCTGTCCCCCACTTTTTTTAATTTCTCCATTGATTATTACAGGCAGCTGCTTTCAAAGATTATCCTGCAAACTTATCGCTCACCGCATTGATGTGCTTCATGGGTACAATCCAATGCTCTATAATTTCATTATTCATGAACAAACCCAAGGATTGGAGATTGGAATGGAACTTGAGCCTCTTTTCCTATACCTACAGTGTAATAATCTACTTCTCTCTCCGTTGTTGTTTTTCTTTTTTCATTTTCTTTTTTTTTTTTTTTTTTTTTTGGGGGGGGCTTGGGGGAAACCGTTAAATTATTGTGACTAAATTTCTGTAGAATTTTGTTACATGCAGGGAGTACTGTGCACTGGAATAGGGAACTTGGTTCAAACTTGGTGTATTAGAAAGAAAGGCCCGGTTTTTGCAGCAACATTCAATCCTGTTAGCACGGTGGTAGTGGCCATCCTAGAGCCCGTACTTCTTCACGTAGACACTCATGTGGGAAGGTGAATTTCACTTGAAATGATCTGATGTTATTTTCCAGCATTAGAATATGGGTGTCCACAATTTTCACCGTCATATACCTATATAAAATATAAAAAATAATCAAAATACTCCCAAAATATTCACATGTATTTTGGTTATTCTTTTTTAGTTTATTTTTATTTTAATAGGTGGGTGATAGTGAGAAGTATGGATGCCCCAAATTCGAGCTTTATTTTATTTGTAGAAAAATAAAATCAAAATATACAATATTCTTTAAAAGTGGTACATGAGTACAAAATATGAAATATAAAAACTCTTTAAATTTCAAAAAGGACCTTGGAAGTGAAAATCAAAAAATAAAACTCAAAAAAATACTAAGAGAAATTTACCTCAGTTGAAAGCATATCAATGTCAGGCCAACGACTTGTGTCTGAGCCGGTCCAATTTGATGCAGAAATGAGATTTGGTCAAAAACTCATCAAAATCAATTTATTTTATATGTAGAAAAATAAAATCAAAACATATTCTTTAAAAGTGGTACATGAGTACAAAATATGAAATATAAAAACTCTTTAAATTTCAAAAAGGACCTTGGAAGTGAAAATCAAAAAATAAAACTCAAAAAAATACTAAGAGAAATTTACCTTATTTGAAAGCATACCAATGTCAAGCCAACGACTAGTGTCTGAGCCGGTTCAATTTGATGCAGAACTGAGATTTGGTTAAAAACTCATCAAAATCAATATTTGACCAATTTTGGCCAGTCAATATAATTAAAAATTGTTGGATTGTTTTGTATTACATTTTATATTTTTTAAATATTAATCCTATTAGAAATGAGCTCAAGGCTAGTTGGTCAAGATGACGAGGTGCCACAATTCCATTCCAGGTTGGTCACGACAGCATCTGTTAAATAATCCACCAAATAGCATGTGATGTTCATGCATATAAGTTAACTAAGAAAGCTAAAAAAAACAAAAGAAAGCTCAACTTGTATCTCCTTTATTTTCCATTAGATAAGTATGAAGAACATACCTAGAAATATGTTTATGGCATAAGTACATAGCATGTTTAGGCAATTTTTATCTTAAACAATACTTTTCTAAATTCATTTTCATCAAACATATTAATGAGTTTCTTTACACTAAAATCCAAAAACTTTGAATTATTGAAACTCATGTTTTACTACACGAAAAGCAAATATCATTACCTAAAAAATTAAAATAATCTATATTAGAAACCCTATAGCCTAAATAACCCAAAAAATAACATTCTAAGAATGATATTTGGTCCTAAGATCACCTATAGAACAACTAATGCTTGGTTATACTATTGTAGCTTAATCTAAGCTAAGCTTTGTGTTTACAACTATGCAGCATATTAGGCGCAGCTCTGGTTATTTTTGGACTTTACTTTGTGTTGTGGGCCAAAGCAAAGGATGGCAAGGTGAAAGCAAATGATGGCCTACACGATTGCCCAGTGAAAGAAAATAGCACCAATGTCGAGATCAAGGTTGAAGCGAATGACACAATACATGATTTCCCAGTGAAAGAAAATAACATCAATGTCAAGATTACAGATGAAAGCATGGTAGAAGAAAATAATGCAAAAGGCTTGGTTCCAAGGGATGTAACCATAGCCATAGAAGGACAATCAAAACATGAAGAAGTTTGATCTCAGTATTTCCCACCCTCCATTCCCACCATTAACATATCACAGAAAATAGTTGGATCTTAGTAATCATAGAAACAGAAGCCAGACAAGAATAACTTTGACATCCGGTTTTTGTGATGATTTAAATTATTCCATTTCAGAAGTAACAAAATATCAACACCTTGTATGAAACGAAAGGTCTTCTTTCTTTTGTTCTTTTTGCTCTTGATAATGGTAGTATTTTTGTACATGAAAATCCGCAAACACTTATTCTAGGGCAAAATGGATGGTCTAGATGATGTATTATAATATATGTTATCCTTATTGTTTGAAATCTCTTTTTTTTAACCATAATGGTCAAGGTCGAGATTCTTGATTTAAAGGTTTTCTTACTCCATGTTAATATTTTTGGTCATCATGTGAGACCAAGTACACTTCGACGTGCCAATGAATTTGAAGGCGTGACCATGGGATAGACATCAAACAGATGCCATATTGATATCCTAGCAGATGATGGATAAAACCAAAGAAAACAATGGATATTGATTGTTTAAGAGATATTTGCAAAGATAGGCATATCACTTATGATGTGATATGCAGACATGATATGCCTAGGACTCATTATATGAAGGCCCTTACTTGCCTTAAAGAGTCATGATCATTAGTCAACCCATATATGCCCTAACTAATGTCCGAGGATAATGGGAATGTCAAACCATCATAATTTGAGCCTAATTCTAGTATACATATACTCATAAGGCTAGTATACGTCTCTCTACATGATATTGGAGGAATTTCATGTGGTATGATATACTTTTCTTATCCATCATCAATCAAGTATGTGCACCTTGACTAACGACCGATCATAAAAGGTGTCAAGCCATCTCAATTCGAGACAGACTCTAGGAAACATATACTCCTAAGGCCATATATGTCTCTCCACATGATATCTCAATATGTTCATTCTTGTCTTTATACTTGAAAATACAGTAGGGAACTTGGCACCTTAGTTTCGGGTGCAAACGTGTCCAAAAATTAATAGAAAAATGGGCCCCTCAAATTATATTATGGGGGAGAATCGGGCGACAAGGCCGTATCCAGCTTGAACAGGCGGCAAAGCCGGATTCCCCCACACCTTAACCTTAGAGTTCAAGGGAGATTCTGAAGATGTTTTACTGAAGAAAGAGAGAGATTTAATGAATGAATTTTAAAAATGGTGAGGGACATAAAGCAATAAATGAAATAAAGATATCAATAAATATGTAAATAAAGCATTAAATAGAACTCATTAATAACAACATAAACATAAAAATAAGATTAAAAGATGCTAATAAATGATAATAACAGAGAAGGAAAAGAAAAAAAAATGATACTTGAGGTTGGGCCCCTAGGCATGGTGCCCGGAGTCAGTGTAGGTTCAGAATAGAGTGTTGCACGTTCAATCACAGTCCTTCAAGTTTAAACGAGCAAATGAATATAGATGGAAGAGGATCCAAAAGGCTTGGCTATCTACTTCAAATTAGAGTGTAAAAGGCCTTGGTTAAAGGCTTGGTTTTGAGTCTATTAGAGTTCAAGTATTATTCGGGCTCGATCTGATAGAGCTTACGCATAGGGTATGAAAATATTGGCCTTGAGACTCAAGGTCAAGTGCCTTATTTATAGGAAAAATAGTCGCATAATCACTATTGAATTGATTTTAGTGCAATCTGGGCCCTTCAATTTCCGTCGCCCTTTGGACTTGCTTTGGCACTACTGGCAATGGCACCAGATTCGCATTAATTACCATTAAATGCAGTCAACAGAATTAAATACTCTTTAATCACGTGACTTGACCCAAGTACATTTTTTTGGGTAGAGTGTCAGAGGCCCAGCACCACTAGCACTGCTGCTGGTTCCAGTTGGAGCCTCTTCACAAAAAAATCACATGTTGTCTTCTAGGTGCTCTTGTGTACAATCTATGGACCGATCAGAATATGTTGCATTTTCAACTTCCTTTGCACCTCTCTGAACAGTGACGGTGTGAGTCGACCACTTGGACTCTATCAACTGATCGGCTACTAATTTGACATATCCTTGACGAATCCAAAGTCGACAGCCTCTTCTGTACTATCATCTGACATGTCAGTACTCGTCGATACGCGTCAGTCCGTACTGACATACACTAAAGGGCCATACATTTAGGTTGTTTCCTGTTTTGATTGTCAGAGGCATGGTGCATATCTAAGGGGCACTGATTCCAATGGCAATTGGCATTGGAACCTTCTCTTCCCATTTGTGTCACCTTTGTATCTTCATCCTAGTGTCGCCATTGGGAGCTGCGTTGATGCCATTGACATTAACGTCGGGACTTTTTACTTTCAAAATGCCTTCAATTTGGTGGTCCTGATTTGTCATGTCTTGCTTTTCTTCAGTACTTTGGGTTGTGTGGAACTATTTGGGGCTCATGGCGGCTAGTTTATGGATGGGTTAATATGAGTGTGAGCGGTTCAAGTATCTGAGTGGTTTGCCCAGGGTACTTTGTTCTTCTATAGCTTCTTCGATTGGAATCGGGGTGTCGACATCTTGCTAATGATCAATGATAAGAGACCATAAAGCCATCTCAATTCAAGACAAGCTCTGGGATACATATATTCCCAAATGGCCATGTCACCTCTTCACATGATTTTGGAGGAGTTTGATGCAGTACGATATGTCTTTTAAATCCGTTGTTTGCTAAGATAAAATATTTGACAAAAAGAGTGTAATAAAACCTTGTCACATGATATCACAAGGAGGTGTATCCTTGCAAATATATTCCATGAAGCCTTATATGCCTCTACTCCAAGAATCATACAAGTTGGATATCATCTAGAGGTGGCTTAACCCATCATCGATATTCTTTGCCAGTCAAGATATGCCTTAACTGACAACCCCAAAACTTGATATTTTAGGGATTGACCTGAAACTCTCAGGGGATTATATGTAAGGCATTATACCCCTCACCCTAAAGTTTTGCATCCTTCATAGTTGGCTTAACCCATCATCTATATCCATTGGCAGCCAAATGCTTATGCGTCGTTAGCCAGATAATAGTCAAGATAACTTCTAGTCACCAAAATTAAATTTTTTTTTTATCTACGAGGAATTTTTACATCAGACTTAGACCGTTGGATTCCTTACTCGATTCCCTATCACCCTTAAAAGAGTGGCATTATATTGTTCTTAAGTGGCAAGAGCAGCAACAACAGTCATATAAATTGTGCAAAAGCTTGACCGATGGTGGATGATATCTCCCAATATACAGGGAGCTCGGGCCCAAATTTTGTGGAGATATGTGTTGTAGTCCTCTCCATAAGATTATCATATCCCCAGGGTCTATAATCCCATGTATTGGAAACGCTTGTACTCGCGACCCTTGGATTTGCTGCTGTAATTTTCTGTAGATATGCGTTACCTCTGATGGACCATAGTGCTCTCGTCCACAACCCATTTGAAGTCAAGTTTGGACCATTGTGTTTATCTCTGATTCCTCTATTATCTCTTCAAGTTTCATGGGCAATGGACTCGTCATCAAGAAGCAGCAGAAGAAATACAAAGACATGGTAATGTTGTGAGTAGCAGACTAATGAATGACGGATAAAGAGTAACCAAATTCACTAATTTTCTCATGTGATGACATGGTAAACTCTACCATGTTCAAATTCAATATCAAGCAAGACAGAGACCAACCAAGGCATGTTTATCAAGGCCACCTACAAGTGCATTCAAATTTAAACAAAGATATACGCTTATCATCCTGAGCCAAATCATGGAAGACAAAGATAAATGGTCCACAAATGGATGGGGCCTATGGAAATTCATGCTTATCAGATCATGATGCCCATTAAAACCCATACTTTCCAATAAGAAAGGAGAATTAAGAGAGAGAAGGAGAGATTTGTGGCGTCGCACCCCTCTTTCTATTTTTTTGTATGGTAGAAAGACAAGAGGAGTGATTGTATCTGTTGTTGATTAAGAAACATATCATTGATATTGCCATTTCCTTATCTAAGGTGCAAAAATCTGATATAGAGAGAGAAAGTTGTTGATGCACTCACTTGAAGCCCCGATTTGAAAAGGAGCAGACCACGGACAGTACCCCTGCAAATATTTCAAGTATACGGGCCCATATGCCTATGGTACTGATGTATTTCCATTTTGTCTGTATTTTTGTCTTTTAGGATTATTATATGTATAGACTTCAAGACTTGAATCAAGGGTGTTTGTCCTAGCATTTAGGTTGATGTAAATTGTAATAGAGATTTAAGTCTTTGGAATTGGAATTCCTCAGTACCCAGTATATATATATATAAAAACCCCTTGTGTCCATAATAGGAAACATGAGGGCGAATTTGGCCTCGATTGTGTTAGTTTTCTAGTTTTTCATTTAATTTGGAACCATAATGTTTTCAAACATTTTTCCACCAAAGCAACTTTTCACAGCAACCACTCCAAAACTGTAATTTTTTGTGAGTTTTGAGGTGAGGCTTTGCTTACTTTAATAGGGTTGCAGCCCGATCAATACATCTTCCTTTTCTAATAAATACAATTTAATCCTATTAGTTTGCACTTCAAAATTTAGGGGAAGAAAAAAGTCGATTTTTGGTCGCGCATTGACATTTACGAAACAAAGAATCAAGAATTTCTAGAGAAACCATCTCAAGCATTTTGATCCTTGTTTTCTTAACAACTTGTAGACACTTGGATGTGCCTTGAAAACAATAAGATCATTCTTCATTTTGATCCTTGTTTTCTTAACAACTTACCCTAACTTCATGCACTTGTAATTCTAACAATTTGACCCTAGAAATCTCAAATAACATAAAATATCGATCCCAGTAGTAGAAAATAGCGATTTGGTGCTTAAAACAATTTATTCTCCGTTATAAAGTGCAGACCAGGATTGATTCAAGGTTTTAAGAGCTTAAGAATATTTTGATAAGAATCACAAGGTGAGTCAAGTATGCTTGAAATTTTTAAGCACACAACAGGCCTTGATTAGGTGGTTTGTAAAGGGGATGATATCTCACAAGATGACATTATGTTTGTCGGACACCCACTTAGAAATCCTAGCTAAGGGAATTTCTAGAAACCGTAGATTTAAAGTCTTAAGGACCACACTACGCCTAATGAATCATAGAGTACTTAGACCCATTCGAATTATATCAAAACCAATCGAAACTTAGACCCATTCGAATTATATCAAAACGAATCGAAAATATCTGAATCTGTAGGAGACCCCAAGATATTTCCAACAATCCAAGAATCATAAAAATC